CTTTCCTTTCCTTTCCTTTCCTTCCCTTCCCTTCCTTTTCCTTCCCTCCTCCCTTCTACCTGTCATGGCTGCATCTTTCCTATCCAAGCTTCATGAGCTGACAGTGGGGCAACTGACCTTCCCTTCCCTCCCCTCCCCGATGGAACACATGAACTATGTTTCTATCACCTGTTCAACTCTGCCTCTCTCCTCCAATCTCTCAGGTGCTCTCCCCCCCCCTTCAGGTGGCTTCCCGGATGAAACCCAGGCTGGCTGGGGAATTCTGGGAGTTGAAGTCTACCCATCAACCAAGCTGCCCAGGTGGATGCCGCAGTAGGGAGCTCCAGTGCTGTGCGTTACAACGCAACGCATCTGGGGGGAAGCGTGCGTCCAATTCTGCAAAGCTGGACCGAGGACGATCCAACATCGGGGCGAAAACTCTCATTTGGAGAAAAGGGAGCTTTGTGGGTAAGAGGGGAGGATTTGGTTCAAAATTGTAATGCGGGAGTTCCGGTCCAATAATGAGGCTTGTAAAGAAAACATTCCACCAGGATGACAGAAGCAGCTAATCTAGGCCATCTCATGGGGCGTGGATAATAAACAGTGTCCTATAGAATCAATAACAGAGGAAGCTGAAGGGGTCAGGAGAAGCTTCATAATTACAGGCATTCCTGACCCTCGCTGAATTCTTGGAAGGAAAAATGTGACTTGAGAAGAGGCGAAACAGGTGCCATTTTCATTATATCAATACATCTATATGAGCGTGTCTGCGTGTGTGTGTCTCTCTGTGTGTGTGTGTGTGAGAGAGAGAGAGAGAAACCAAAACACCCGACCCCAAAGAAAATACTCCAAGAAGCAGAAATTAAAAATGAACTTTAGAGCCCCTTCAAAAGGCTGTCATTTTATTCCCCTTATTAATATTCTGAGGTTGGGAGCCTTTCGGTAAAAACATAATTAATTGAGGCTGCGCCGACAGTAAACAAGCAATTTCAAATTAAACCGAAATGACGGCGGCTTCATTTGCAAATGTGAACAGATTTCTCAGAGCAGATAAATGAAGTCGCCACATAAAGTGAGGAGGGGTCTGTGTGTGTGTGGGGGGGGGAAAGGTTGGGAAGAAAGGAAGGAAGGAAGGCAGGCAAGGGAGGTGGCGGGGGGAGGGGGGCAGACGCCGGGAGGGGGGCTGTGAGGGGCAGGAGCTGATGGGATCATTAATCTCTTACCTGTCTGCGTCACGCTGCCACTCATTTCGGAGATGTTTGACTCGATCCTCTGCAACTGTTTCCTGTCTTCCTTGCCTCCCACGATCAGGGGAAGGAGATATTTCTGCAGAGAAGCGGGGGGGGAAAAAAAGAGACAAGGGTGGGTGGGTGCAAACAGGAGTCCTTTCAAAGTTCAGACCGGGCTAACCAAATTCCTAAATCGATGGGAGGAGGAGGCAGACAGGTTGCCTAAGTATATGACACCCCACGTGTTTTGTCAGGCTTCACCCCTGTTGGCAAGAGGGGTATAAGTATCAGCACGAGCGCTTAAGACTTTGCAGCCCTCTCTAAGCTGTTTACAGTGTCAGCCTTTTGCCCCCAGCAGTCTGGGTCCCCATTTTACCTACCCCGGAAGGATGGAAGGCCGAGTCAACCTTGAGCTGGTCAGGATCGAACTGCTGGCCAGTGGGCAGAGTTAGCCTGCAATACTGCATTCTAACCACTGGGAGGGAGGGAAGGAAGGAGTGGAAAGAGGAAGGAAGGAAGGAATGGGAAAAGGAAGGAAGGAAGGAAGGAGTGGGAAGAGGAAGGAAGGAAGGAATGGGAAAAGGAAGGAAGGAAGGAAGGAGTGGGAAGAGGAAGGAAGGAAGGAGTGGAAAGAGGAAGGAAGGAAGGAGTGGGAAAAGGAAGGAAGGAAGGAGTGGGAAGAGGAAGGAAGGAAAATAGTAATACACTTACAAGACTTATATACCACTTCCCAGTGCTTCGCAGCTCTCTCTAAGCGGTTTACAGAGTCAGCCTTTTGCCCCCAACAACCTAGGTCCTCATTTTACCGACCTCAGAAAGCTGATGTGACTGAAGCCACAATTAAGCAAGCTGATTTGTGACACCTCGGTCATGGTGCCAAATCCCAGTTGGCTTTGAACTCAAGGTAACACATCCCATACTGGTTTTTTTTTCCTCCGTTCATGTTTTATTGGCTGAGTTCAAGCACCAACATATAAAAGCCACCGCAAAGTTCCTTAATTGAGGTTTTTTGTATGATATTTATGTGAAGATACACTGTTTTGAGTAACAGACAATTAAATCCTGATTTCAGAAGGCTCCCAGATTTTTTTCCTCTGCTTTTATTTCTCCTCTTGTGCCAACTGCAACAAGCCAAAATGCTGCAGTGGGTTAGTTTCTCAACAACGCCAAATCTATGGCAAGTTGCTCTGAAATAAACACTAGGCTAATTTTAAAGGCAGCCAGGGGAGGGTATGTTCTTCATAAGGGTCTCTGCCCCACTGGGGATTTCAGCTCAGCTGTGCCAGCATTCACCCCCCTCACCAATAACGCCTGGATAATTTAGTTCAGAAAGGGAGCAGTTTAGTTCTTCATTCTAGAGCTATCCTCATTTTATAAAGGACATAAAAAAGTACAGATGTAGAAAGAGTGTTTTAAAGGTAATTCTTCAAGAGAGTTTACTATGTTAAAAAAAAACGCACACCAAATGGAAGTGCCTAAGGCTAGGAAATATGTTCTCCACTTTTAATAATACAGCTATTTGGTCTCTGCTGTGTGTAGTATGAATTTGCATAGCCCTTAACACTTCATGAATGAAAATGGGGAGGGAGGGGGGGGAATTCCTTTTACTCAACCACACGGGCACTGCAAAAAGAGGGCATTTATTTGGCGGCCTGTGTTCCCGAGGGCGTGCAACATGCAAACAGGTACCAGGTCACCCAAAACTGAAAGCAATAATGTTGCCAAAGGAGAGGATGTGACTTGTAGAATAGTGTCTTATATCTTCAGATGATCAATACAGAGGCGTATTTGGGAAGGTATGCCAGTACGCTCCATAGAAACGGGAAAGAACCAGGTCCACATTTCCCCGAAAATAAGACCCTGTCTTATATATATTTTTTTGGCCACCAAAAAAGGCACCAGGTCTTATTTTCGGGGGACGTCATCCCCTAACTAACCTCACTTGTGCAAGTCGCCCCCGGCCTCCATTTCACTGTCAGAGGCCTTCAGGAACTACTTCTTCTGTGACCAGTAAGGCTTTCCTGAAGGCCTCTGCAGCCCATAACTGAGCTCTGGATCGATCCTGAACTTCGTTATCAGTAACAGAGGCCTTCAGGAAAGCCTTGCCGGCTGCAGAAGAAATGGGCTGGCAAGGCAGGTGTCGGGGTGTGTGAGGCCGGCTACAACTGCCCAAAGGTAAGTAGTAGGGCAGCTCCACCCCACCCAAGCCTAATTTTTACCCGTCCACTTTGAAGTGGGTGGGATCTTAATTAGGGCTTATTTGGGGGGGGGGGGTAGGGCTTATATTGGGCGCAGGTGTAAAAATCAAGTTAGGGCTTACTTTCAGGGTAGGTCGTATTTCTGGGGAAACAAGGTACTCGGCTCCTGGCCCGGCCCTTCAATTACGACAAGGGAAGATTTCCATCTTTACAGGAGGGGACACGGGAGCAAGGATGGCAATGCCTGCGAACGTGCCTCGCGAAGAGGCCCGTCATTTGGCGCCGCTTAGCCAGGAGGGTGGAACGAAAAACCCACTCGGAGGAGCTGGGGTGAAGGTTAGCTTTTGCACCACCCTGTGGAAATCAGAACCGCTTACCTTGTAAAGCTGGTGGAAACCGATTGCAATGCCAGTCATAATAATTGCTAGGGCACCATAATCTCTCCATCTGGAGCTCGGGGGACCTGAGGAGGAAAAGCAGGCAAACAAAGAAAGAAAGAAATATATCAGAGGCGGGGAAAGCGTCTTCAGAAAAAGGGGCCTAGGCACCTCCTTCCTCGACCCCTTAAATGTTTAAATCTTCCCCTTAAGGAGGGATAGAAATATCTTAAGATTATCATCAGGAAAGCTGGAGACCCAAGGAGGGGGGGAAAAAAACAGGGACGTGTCAACTTACAACCTAATTAATTTAGGAATTAATTTTCACACGGAGGACCGTTGCAGCATCTCCACGGTCGCGCGATCAAAATCCGGGGGCTTGGCGTGTATTTACGGCAGTTGCACTGTCCCGGGATCATGGGATCACCAGGAGGAGACCTTCCCGTCTCCTCCACGCGCACCCTACACTTACCTCCATCCCAAACGGGCCCCATGGGGACTCCTGGGAGGGGAGGGTTGGGCGGGGGCCAGCCAGGAGTGGGGTTTGGGGGGTTCTCTGAACTGCGCAGAATCTTAGCTGGGGGCTCTATGGAACTCCTGCAAACCCCCAGCAGCCCCACCCCCGGTTGTCAGTCGAGGGTTACCTGTCTTCCCATCCCTGTCTTTGATTGCTAACATCTACCTCAATCCGGGTCATGTGAACACAAGCGAAGGGTGGGGGGTGACTCCTGACCGTCACAGAAGTTTGACATTTTCACGCAGGCGATAATTTAGGGATTTGAATTGCAGCAAAGATTGCTCCCCCACTCCACCTTCCCCATCTCTGCTGCTTTGACCTCCAGAAACACGCCCCCCCCTGCCCCCCCCGGGAGACACCTGTGGGACTCCCCGCACGGCCCCGCCCACGCTGGCCTCTCACCCCTTCCGCCTCCCCCTTCCGTTCCCATCAGGCTCCTGCTAAGAACATTTTATTGCCCCCCGGTTTTCATTATTAATGAAAAGGGACGGGGATGATCTTTTAGAAAGTTCAGAGAGTCTATAAAGAGAAGGAGCCGAAATGCCATTTTGCGCATTTTTCGGGAGGCGTGAAACAATTTTGTCTGGTGGTGAAAAATAAAAGAGGACGAAGGAGAAAGGGAAGAAACTAATTGAAGCAGGGGGGGGATTGGTGGGGGGGAGAAAGACTCTGCCATTTGCTTTCCCAGCTGCAACGGTGGGCGGGAGGAGAAAAATCCAACCGGTAGCCCTGGATCGGATGCTGGGGGCTGCCCATATAAGCCGCTTTCTGCAGACTTTTAGAGAGGTAAAATGTATGAGGTGAGGCTGGTTTCTGTGCCCACCTAAGCAAATCTGACTCGGTGTCACCAGGTTTTCGGATTCCCCCAAAAGGAAAAAAAAAAAAAGGGCTTATTTGGATGGCAAAGTGGGCGTTTTTCATAGCTGGCAGCTCGAAGAGGGGGGTGGACTTCACCTCCCAGGATTCCCCAGCCAGTGTTGCCATCTTCGAGCCGCCAACCTTGAAAAAACAGTTCACTTAGAAATGCAAGGCCTCCTTTCCGAGCTAGGAAGAAAGGCTACGCGGAAGAGTAAAAGCAACGTTTCCGAAGTTTCTGTCACACCCTTGTTAGAGTCGGACTCTGAGGGAGAGGAGGAACAGACGACAGGGAGTGGAGGTGTGGCACCGGAGGTTGTGGAGGAGGTGGGGAAGGGCAGAGGCCGGCTGGGCAGCCAGAGGAAGAACCGGGCCCATCCCCTCTGCATCCTAAGAGACACAGGGAGGAACGGAGGAGGAAACTTGGCTTATGAGAGAGGAAGCGGCCATGATCCCCCTCATTGGTTGCAGCTGGGGAAAATAGTATATAAGAGAAACACAGCGTTGCCAGAAGCAAAGCGTGTTTTATTTTGGGCTGAAGTTATCTTGGTTGGTGTCCTTCCAACAGACTGTGCCTTGTTATCTCCTTGAATTTGGCAATTACTTAACCTGGTCCGTTGTGGAAATTCCTTCACTGTAGTTTGTTTTGGTTTTTTATTTCACCTCTATCTGCTCATTAAGTTCGGACTGTATTGCTTTATTTTGAAGACTATTTTTGAGTATGTTTTATCTCCAACTGAGAATTATTGAACAGTGGGGCCAAGTTGGAGGCATTAAAGGACATTTATTTACGTTTTGGATTTTGTTATGTTTGTGTTACACTCTGGATCATCACAGTTTCAACCATGAATATCAACGCATCGGTGGGAGGGGTAAACCCTAATCCAAACAGCAACTCAGAATACTGTCAGAGGTGCCCAACTTTCTTCCAAAATAATAATGCATGCACAGTGGTGTCCTTAAAGGGCCAAATGTCACCAACTTGATGCCTGCTTATAGGGCCAAGCTACTGCACTAAAAAAAATGTGGAGACTCTAGAAAGAGTGAAGAGAAGAGCAACAAAGATGATTAGGGGACTGGAGGCTGAATATATGGAGAACGGTTGCAGGAACTGGGTATGTCTAGTCTAGTGAAGAGATGGACCACATGATAGCAGTGTTCCAATATTTGAGGGGCTGCCCCAAAGAAGAAGGGGTCAAGCTATTCTCCAAAGCTCCTGAACGCAGGACAAGAAGCAACGGATGGAAACTAATCAAGGAGAGAAGCAACCTAGAACTAAGGAGGAAATTCCTCACAGTGAACACAATGAATCAGTGGAACAACCTGCCTCCAAAAGTTGTGAAGGCTCCAACACTGGAAGTTTTTAAGAGATTGGATAACGCGTTGTCTGGAGTGGTGTAAGGTATCCTGCCTAAGCAGGGGGTTGGACTAGAAGACCTCCAAGGTCCCTTCCAACTCTGTTATCCTGTCTTTTTGAGATTTAGAAAGATGATTTGCAAAAGACACCTGATGCAATCCCTTTCGGGGAAACAGCCACGAGGAAAACCGTAAAAATTCAGGTCATCTTGAGAAGGCTGAGCAGATGCAAACACTTTTCTACACACACCTTGGCTAAGGAAGTCCCCAGAATTTCTATGTAATGAAGTGGGTTGGGGGGGGGGGGGGAGAAAAGACCATATAAATCCCATCCATCATTTAAATACTTAAAGCCATCCTTACACTGGGATGACAGTATTTCATAAATGTCGATAGCAGATTTTTTTTTTTTTCTCCTTGCCTCCTCCTCTTCCTTTCCTACGTCCCGCTCCAAATAAGGGGGTTCACTTTAGGAGCCTGTTGAAACTCTGTCAGGTTGAGTGATGTTCCCTCCAACTAATCACATGTCAAATAAAAGATATTTTACGTAATAAATTACCGCTACAAGTAATTCGCTTGTCATTTATCAGTTTTATTATCAGTCAGCCCAAGTCTTGTTTCTCTATATTAATCAAAATCAAGGAGTTGAAGGTGGTGGTTTTTTTTTTTTTTTTTTTTTGAAAGAAACAGTTTTGACACCTCTTGACAGAAAAGGCAGATGTGAAGAGGGGAGAATTCGCTTTGCAAGCTGGTGGCGCACATATCTTTGCACGCCCTGAGTGTGCTGGAGTGGCTAGTGAATTAGTGTTTGCCCCGGCCACAAAGAGGGCAGGGGGTTCTAAAGGCCGTTTCTAGCTCTAGGGGGCGCTGCTCATCTCCGTCACAAAGCTGAAGAGCCAGCGCTGTCTGAAGACGTCTCCGTGGTCATGTAGCTGGCAGGACTAAACGCTGAAGGCGCACGGAACGCTGTTCCCTTCCCACTAAAGGTGGTCCCTGTTTTTCTACTTGCATTTCTTTACATGCTTTCGAACTGCTAGGTTGGCAGAATCTGGGACAAGTAATGGGAGCTCGCTCCGTTCCGCGGCGCTAAGGATTCGAACCGCCAAACTGCCGACCTTTCTGATCAACAAGCTCAGTGTCTTAAGCCGCCGAGCCACCGCGTCATTTTAGAGGAAGAAGCAACAAGTCACTTGTAGCTGCCAGACTTTTCACACCGCAACCCATCATCCTTCCTGGTCTTAAAAAGCAGAGGAGCATTTGAGTCTTAAATCTAGGACAGGAACGCTTCTTGGAAATGTTTTTACTTTTTAAAGAATTTCTTCCATTCAAAGGTGCAGCTTTCCTTTGGAGTGAATTGTGATGGTTTTCAGAAGTCACAAGAAATTGCAGTGTGTAAAAATCTGTTGTGCGAGTAGTCCCTGTGTCAACAACTCATAAAATATTTCTATGGTCTTTTTAGAGTTGTCAACAGAAAGGGAGGGGCAAGCATTGCGGCAGCTCAGAAACTGAAAGTGCATTCCATAAATGTTTTCAAACTAGGTGACTGATGACTATTGGCTAGGGAGGTGTCCCATTGGAGGATATGAATTACGATACACCCAGAGGGGTGGGGGGAAAACCAAGGTCAAGGGTGACAATGAACGGTATGTCTCAGAGTCGGCTACACCCAGGCAGTGCCGGACATGTTTACTTCTAATAAATCCTGTTGAAGTTTTGGAAGTTTGGCTAGAGACTCATGATTTAAATAGGAATAACTGCCAGAATCCTGACACCCTGACTTAAAATAGTTTGTTTAGTGACTGTTCAAAGTTACAATGGCACTGGTGACTTGTGACCGTTTTTCGCAGTTACGACCTCTGAAGCATCCCGGTGGTCACACAATCAGCGTTCAGACACTTGGCAACTGTTCCATACTTATGACCATTGCGATGTCCCTTTCTGTGACAAGCAAAACCAAGGGGGAAGCAACATTCCCTTAACAATCTGGTGACTAGCTTATCAACTGCAGTGATTCAGTTAACAACTGGGGCAAGGAAGGTCTTAAAATGGGGACAAGACTCACTTAACAAATGCCAATCAAAATGGTGGGTCGTAAATTGAGGACTGCCTGCCATTTTCAGCCAGCTGTTTCCCCTGACATCCTGTCTTTCTACATGCAGGCAGTTGGGAGGATTTGTCCAATAAGCATTGTGGCTGATGGTGTCATCGTGGCTCTACAACCATGTGGTGAAGCAAAAGTGCGTTCCCACTGCCTTTCCCTGCCTTTGGATAAAACCCCATGGTAAGAAGACGGTTTGAATGACTTTTTGGATCCAAAGGGGAGTAAACTTTACCGCACGTCTGAGTAGCTGCACACAATTAAATTGATTTCCTTCCTTGGCTCCCCGAGCACGGACAACAGCCAAGCTACAGCAAGGGGACAAAGTTATAGCTCATTTCACGACGTCTTTATTGGGGCTAATGAGCGGTAAGGAGATTTTCCCTTTAAGCCTCTTCCTAGCATTCGGCCCGGAACAGGGAAATCGGAAGGAATTCCAACTTTGGAGAAAGGGGAGAAGAAGAAGAAGGTATTTTGGGATTGCTGGGAAGATATTGAGACTCTCCCTTCAATCAGAAGACAAACAGGCTCTTTGGTTTAGCCCTTTCAGACAAAATCAGAAGGCGAAATCATACCCGGAAATAAAGCGGCTGGGTGGCTTCTGGCAGGCTACTTACTGTACGATGCAAGCGGTGTGGACGGAATTGGCACCAATTGTGGGGGGAGATTGTAGGGCTGAGCTTCTTCTTTCGGGATGCCCGATTGCTGGAAGGCCAGATCTATTTCTTCGTCAGTGAGACCTGGGAGTAGAAGGAAAGGAAAAAGTTTGTAGAAAACCGATCTGATTCCCGAAAGTTCTTGACTAATGGACACAAGGTAAGATAATTCGGTTGCCATTTGTTTTACTGCGAGCACAACCGGCCCACGTTAAAAATGAAACGGTTGCCTGCTCTCAAAAGGAAGCATATATTTAACCCAAACACATACACAACCCACATATATACATGCTATATACATAAATGTATACCTGCACCATGCATATATATATATATATTAATCACAGTCTATTGTGAAATAGTGGAAAGAGGTCACTTGAGAGGTTGATGCTGTATGGAACTGTGACTCAATCTACTCACAAGGATGGAAATTAAGCTTCCTCTACAGCGATTTAGCACCCCAATTCCATTTTTTTAAGGGGGAGGCGAAACCATCCATCATCCTTATCCTTAGGCCGAGAATGTCTTCTCAGAAAATTTCAAGGCACTTGGGATGATCTTATTGCAGCCACACCAAAAGCAGTTAGATCATGGTTAGCTTCATTAGATACCTGAATTATAACATTTATCTCATTGCAATTCCATGGCTCCATTATATGGTGATTTTACTCTGGTTTTATATCAATTTACTATTTTATCTCCTATGTTGTATTGTCCACATATCATCTCTAATCTCTCTCTTTCTCCCTCCTTCCCTCTCACCTTTCTCTCTGCCTGCCTGCCTGCCTGCCTGCCTGCCTGCCTGCCTGCCTGCCTGCCTGCCTGCCTGCCT